TTTTTTTTTTTTTTTTTGGAGGGGAGGGGTGCTGAGGGTTGAGCCCAGGGGGACTCTTCACTGAGCTTTATCCCCAGCTGTTTGTTTGAGACAGGGTCTTACTCCCTTTAGTATTTCTTGTAAGGCAAGTCTGCAAACCTCATTTTCTCTGCTTTTGTTTATCTGGGAATTTATTTCTTTTTTATTTTTGAAAGATCACTTGGCTGGATTCATGCTTGTCAGCTTTTTCCTCAAGCAATATGTGTATGTTAACCTGCTATCTCCCAGCCTCTGCTACTTATAAGGTATCTGTGAATGTTATTGGGCTTCCTTTACTCCTGAGGAGCCATTTTTCTCCTTGCTGCATACAAGAATTTCTCCTTCTTTCTGTCTTTTATCATTTTTACTTTAATGTATCTGTGAGTCTCTTGGAGTTTATCCTACTTGGATTTTAATTAGCTTTCTAGATGTGTATATTGTATTCTGATACATTCGGGAAGGTTTTAGGCATTATTTCTTTGAATTTTTTTCTGTGTCTTACTGTCTCTTCTGATGTGCTTGCTGTGCTCATTTGGTACAGTTAATGGTGTCCTGAATTTTTCTGGGGCAGTGTTCATTTTTTATTTTCTCTTTCCTGTTCTCTGGGTGGCATAATCTGTTCTGATCTGTCCCAAGTTTGCTAATTCTTCTGACATTTAAATCTACTGTAAAATCCTCTAGTGAATTTTTCATATCAGTTATTATACTTTTCAACTTTAGAATTTGCATTCTGGTATTTTTACTATTTCTATTTGTTGATATTCTGTATTTGATATAACATTATCATACCTTCCTATAGTTCTTTAGTATTTCTTTTAATTCTCGGAACATATTTTCTCCTTCTGTGTGTGTGAGACAGGGTCTCTGTTGTTCAGGCTGTCGTTGAACCTTGACACCCCTTCCTCAGCCTCCCGAGTAGGGGGGATTACACAACACCCAGAAGTCAAACGTATTTCCAATGGCACCTTTGAAGTGTTTGTTAATCCTAACTTCTGATTGCTCTTAGGCACTTTTTATTGCTTGCTTTTTTCCTCATGTACGTGTCATGCTGTTCGATCTCTTTGCATGTCTAATAACTTTATTGGAAATTGGACACTTTCAGATAATATACTGTCGCAACTCTGGATACTGCCCCCTGGAAGGTATTACAATTATTTGCTTATTTGTTTAGTTCTGGCTGGATTATCTTAGTGAATTCAATCCCTGCTCTTTCCTCTTAGGGTGGCGTGAAGGCCCTGACCTTGCCCCTCAGTGAGTGCAGCCAGGGAACGCCAGTGGAATGGCAGGCCTCTTTTCCCAGACTGCTCAGCTTCTAACTTCTTCTCATTTCCTGCTGATTGTCCTGTTGTTTTCAGCAATGCCATAGGGTCTACACTGTGCCACAGACTGATATAATCATTTTGGTTTTCCGTACCAGGAATGGAACCCAGAGCCTTCTCTCTGAGCTATATCTCTAGCTCTCTTTATAGTTTTTGAGACAGGGTCTCTCTAAGTCTCTGAGTTGCCCAGTCTGGGCTGAAACGTGCCATCTTTCTGCCTCAGCTTCCCAGAGTACCTGGGTTACAGAAGAGCACATAACAGGCAAATGTTGGCTCTTTTGACAGGATTATTCCCAAGACCAGTGCTTGAGATCTTTTTTTTTCTGACTCCAGGGAGCTCCTCCTAGGCTCCTGGGTTCCTCCAGTAAACTAGCCCAAACTACAGTGCGGCCTGCATGCCAGTGGATCTATTAAATGCTTCTCAATTGCCTTTCACCATTACTTCTACTCTTCGAGAGCATTTAGCCTAGATTCTCTGTGGTGTGTTCCAAGAAAGTCAGTTCATTTTGGAAGACAGCTGGTATTGATTTATTACCTGCTTCTATCACTAGAGTCAGAGATGGCTGTGGAGGGAGGGGTTGAGACAATGACAGGCTCGTAACATTCCCACTTCAGAAACTGAGCACACTAGGGCAGGCGTGGTGGTCCGTGCCTGTCATCCCATCTACTCAGGAGGATCATTTGAACCCAGGAGTCTGAGGCCAGCTTGGGCAATACACCAAGACCTTTTCTACAAAAGAAAAAATAAAACTGAGCACTCAGTGGAGAAGGTGGGGATAGCAGCCCCTGGTCTTGGTATGCTTTGCCTAGTGGGGGCTCTTTACTTTGTGGTCTCCAGCAAAGGAGACTGGGGCCCTGTTATTTTCAGCACTGCCACACCCAAGAGCGAGCCTGTGTCCCCTAGGGAACTTGTGTGTCCCCACAGGGAACTTCTGCTTCTTGGCTGTATTCTCCTGCAATTTAGCCTGGGCCACAGGCAGCAGCAGCAGGTAATAGGCTAAAGTCCCACCTGTCGCAGGAAGCAAGCTTTCACTTGGGAGCTGCTGGCAAACAGGCTGTGCTCTTGGCTTCACTATTCTGTAACAGTTTTTGTTTAACTGAGCTCCAAAATGGCATTTGGTCTTGATTTTGCTTAGAAATCAAGGAAAATTCTGTTATTTGATTACAATGGAAAACTACCTAGAACTACACTTTCAGAATTATTGTTCCATCTGCCTGTCTGAATTTTCCATCTTTCCCGCTAGTGTGGTCAGCGTTCGTGAGAGATCAAATTGCCTCTTTGAGTCAGGGATTCCCATGTCTTTATCTTCTGGGGCAGTCGTTTTAATGATGGCTGCTTTGACATCCTTGTTCCTCATTGTGTAGATAAGAAGGTTAAGCACTGGGGTGAGAAGAGCATACAGCACATTGCCCATGATGTGGAAGCCGAGGGGCAGGTCAGCCCTGTAGGCCACACAGGCCCATGATGTGGAAGCCGAGGGGCAGGTCAGCCCTGTAGGCCACACAGGCTATGGCCACACAGGCTAAATGCTCTCGAAGAGTAGAAGTAATGGTGAGTAGTAGGTGCCCACCACCAGGAGGTGGGAGCTGCAGGTGAAGAAGGCCTTTGCACGTCCTTCTCGAGAGATGATGCGAAGCACTGAGGCCAGAATGTAGGTACAGGAGGGAAGTACCAGGAGGGGGAGTAGGAAGGACACCACCATGGCAGTGCAGAAGCCCATGAGGGCTGGGGCTGGTGGCAGAGCAGGAAGCCTGGACAACAGCCAGGTGGTCACAGAAGCAGTGGCAGGTGTGGGCAGTGTTGTCAAATGCTGTCTTGGAGGTCTGTACCACTGCTGGGATGGGCAGGAGGAAGGCACTGTTCTTACTAGCTTTTAGTAGATTTTCTCCAGTGTTTCTTCATATGCCATGCGCCTCAAGGCCATTTGTATTCTTGAAGTGGTTCTTAAAGTAACTCTCACCAGTTTCATTGAGCAGGTGTCTGCAGAACTCTTGGTGCTGTTATGTGCATTGTGGAAACAACCAGGCTTACATTTTGTATTTAGTTATATCTCACTTAATCTGGAACAGTTCCTCATGATTTTGACAGTTTTGACATTAACAGACCATGTGTTCTTGTAAGATGTCACTTGGTTTAGATTTTTTGTTTTCACTTGAATAGATCCAGGCTATACATTTTTGTCAGGGACACCACCCAAGTGAGGTGTCCTTGGTACACTGCATCAGGTGGCAGTGACACTTCTTGAAGAACACATACGTGTTGAATGTTACAAAGCTTTTTTTTCCTTCAGTACTGGGGATTAAATCCAGCCTTTGCATGGAGTTCTATCCTCACCTCTTTTTTGAGGGAGGGTCTTGCTAAATCAGTAAGTTATTCAGGCTATGCTTGAACTTTTGATCTTCTTGTCTCAGCCTCCAGAGTGCTGGGATTACAGATATGTACCACCATGCCTGGCACACAATACTTTTTTGGTTACTAGTTAGACTGAATTTTATGTACTGGCTAATTATATTACTGTTTTGTAAATGTTGCAGGGTTATCTGTGGGATTTTGTTGTTTTATAAATTCTAGTATTCTAATATTATTGGATCTTTAAGAACTCCTTTATATACAAGTATCTTTGCTGGTTTATTGTTTGCTCTTTTATACTCATTTTTCTTAAAGCTTGAAGTTTTACATTTTTATGTAAACATAACTATTAGTAATTTCCCATGTAGTTTATACCTTCAGAATCATGCAGAAAAAAGCCCTTCTAAGATTAAAGAAATTTTTTTCTACTATATACTGATTTTCTTTTTGTTTTTCAAATAGGTACATTTACGGAAGCACATGGGTGACAAATACACAGCTTACAGTGTGAAAGCTCGCCAGTTGAAATTTTTTGAAGAACATGTGAATTTTTGAGAATTTGTTAGAACTAGACCTATTTTCAAAGGTTTCTGGCTTAAAAAACAAATCATGGAAGAGTTGTTTAGAAGCCATTCACCATCCTTTTCTATCATACTTGAAAAAACTGGACAGCACAGAGTAATATGAAGCTCGTTCACAAAAGAAAACTTTTGCTTTCATACTGTTTTTATGAAGACAAATGTTACAGTTGTTTGGTTAATGAGCCTTAGAGCATCAAATTTATATCTAGAGCTTTATTTTTTTAAGATAGTAGCTTGAAAGGAGAGCCATAAAGCATTGGGTTGGAACTTTTATATTGTACTACAGTGATAAAAGCAACAGGAGAAATAAAGACATAGTATGTGTAGTGATGTTATCTGCTAACCTCCAGGAGTAGTTGATACATTATTTTAAAAAGTTAATTCACTATTCTGCAAAGAGATTTAAAGAATGTGAACTTCTGTACAGTATATGGGCAACAGATTCCTTTTTTACACTTTGATGGATTTTTAGTATTTTGTTTTCATTTAAGATACTCCTCATTTAGGGTATACAGGAATTGAAGTTAAAGGATTTTGGCTTTGTATCATGTTTTTTCATTACTAATTTTGTTAGATCCATTTTCCCATCAGCAAAAACAACTCATAAACACTAATTCCTTTTCCAGTGAAGCAACTTGTAAGTAAAGTCCAGATCTTCTTAGCTATATTGGATATATGTAAAGTTTGTCTCATGAAGTTTGTCTTCATGTTTATCAAGATAGTGTTGTTCCTTGTTTTAAAAGACTGTATAACACATATTTTATTAATTTAATTAAAGAAGTAATGCTCACCACAGAAAGTTTTTATACAATAAAATGCAACTCTTGGTCAGTAAAATTTTACATAGGTATTGAAGGAATTCTAAAAATGACTATTCTCCAGATGTTTTGTTTCTATAAATATGTCCCTTTTCTTTGAAAATTATACATACACGTTTTAATGAAATATTCTTTTAGTCACTTAGATTTTTATTTAATTTTTACTACATGCCAGGTCCTATGTCAGGAGCTAAGGACAGAGTAAATAAAACAATACTCTCGGCCCTTAACAGTACTCACAGTCTAGTTTCTGAGACTTGTTTTTACTCTGAAGGTTTACTAGAACTGAACTTATGAAAGCATCTAGTCCCAGTGCCCACTTGGGGCACATCTTTCACAAATTGTTGGTCTTCTTGAGTTGTTTCTCTCTTGCATATTTTGGAAGTCTATCTCTCTGGATAGTCACTGATTTTACTTACTTTTTCTTTTGCAGTACTGGGGATTGAACCCAGGGTTTTCATACCGAGCTGCATTTCCAGCCCTTTATTTTGAGCCAAGATATCACTAAATCACTAAGTTGTCCAGGTGGGAGCCGAACTTGTGATCTTTCTGCCTCAGCCAGAGTGCTAGGATTACAGGCAGGCACTACCATACCAGTTGGTTTTACTTAAGTTTTTTCATTTATTGGTATAAAGTAGTAGAAATTATTTTCTTAGAATTAAAAGAATATTCTTTGTTACATAATTTCTTATTCCTCTGCCCTATATTTTTGTTTAAATATTCAGTTGTCATCCTATTCTTGTATTTTTTGGTTTTGTTTTTTTTTTTCTTGAATAGTTCATTCATTTTTTATCTTATTTTTTTTCTTTTTTGAGACAGGGTCTCACTATATAGCTCAGGCTGGTCTCAAACTCACAGCAGTCCTCCTGAGTGCTGAGATTATAGGCACATATAATCTGATGCCTGGTACATATCTTCCTTAATTTTGAAACATTCTTTTAAGACTAAATTTTCTTCTGACTATGCTACTGGCCACATTTAAGAGACTTTGACACTTTTTTGACATTAGTGTCTAAAAATCACTCTGATTTTGATTTTCTCTCTTAAAAATGTTTAATTTCCAGAGATTAAGAAAGCCATAAAAGTCCCATGCCCATGCTCCAGCTACCCTGCAGTGCTGTTACTGAGTATGACCTGCACAACCATTCTTGGGAGGTTTTTTTCCTGTTGTTTAGTACATGATTCATTATTGGAATGGCCCTGTGGGCATTTAATAAAAGTGAATTGTTATACACGAAATCACTCGTCCATTAAATATTATTCAGTTTTTGTACAAGGCATGATCAATAGATGGTGATGGAAATGTTCCATGTTTACACTGCCCAATGTGGTAGCCGTGAGTCAGATATGGCTACTGAACCCTTGATTTGTGGCCAGGCCAATCAAAGAACTGAAGGGTTAATTTCAGTGAGTAAAAGGAAGTCTCTGTTCCCACTGAGCTGATTTTCTAGTGAGAACAATTAACAAATAAATATAAACTGTGAGATATAGTAAATGCCATGAGACCTAGCAGGCTAAGCGCATGTGGCAGACTGCTGTATTTCATTAGCGCAGTCGGGAAACCCCACTATAGCGACATCTGGGTAGAGACCTCAGTGAAACACACATGTAACAATCTGTTATATACAGTTCATCTTATGCAATGCATAATTGAATTATATATAATTATACAGTTCATCTTATACAATGCGTGACATTTGAATAGCTGTGAAACATCCTCTTTGCCCCACCTAACAATTTCTGATACTAAGTATCTTCTTTTGTTACCCCACCTTCCTGCTTGTGTCTGCCCAGTATCATCCATGTGCTTTCAACTTTTGGATTTTTAAAAAATTTTCTGTGGTACTGGGGATTGAACCCAGAACCTCATACATGCTAGCCAAGTGCTCTACCACTGAGTTATATCCCTATCCCTCTTTATTTTTTTGAGGCAAGGTCTTATTATATTGCCTAGGCTGGTCTTCAACTTGCAGTTTTCCTGCCCTTGCCTTCAAAAGTGCTGGGATTATACGCATGTGCTATTTGCACCCAGCATGGGGGTTTCTAACTCTTCGATCACATTTATTATATTTAATATATTTATATTGGTCTTATTTCTCTCTTAATTTTCTTAGCTTTTTTTTTTTGAGACAGATCGTGCTATGTAGCCAAGGCTGGCCTTGAACTCAGAATCATCCTGCCTCAACCTCCAAAGTGCTGGGATTATAGGCATGCACCACCATGTTGGGCTATTTTCTTACCTTTTAAAAAATTAATTTCCTGCCAGGCATGGTGGGGCATGCCTGTAATCCCAGCCTGGGATACAGAGTGAGTGCAAGGCCAATGTGAACTACATAGCAAGATCCTGTCTCAAAAAAATAAAAATAAAATAAATTTCCTGAGACTTGCATACAGCAAGTCTTTTTTCTTTTTTTTAATGGGAATTATTTGTTGTTTTGGTTTTGTTTTTTTGTTTTTTTTTGCGGTACCAGGGATTGAACTCACGATCTTGTGCTCGCCAGGCAGACGCTTATGCCACTGAGCTATATCCCCAGCCCCCTTTAATGGGGATTAAACCCAGGAATTCACATGTTAGGCAAATGCTCTACCACTGAGCAACAGCCCCAGCCCTTTCCATTTTTTGAGACAGTGTCTTGTTAAATTGCTTAGGCTGAGTTGGAACTTGCATTTCTCCTGCCATAGCCACCTAACTAGCTGGGATTAAAGGCATGTGTCATGGTTTGGAAGTCCTGTTTCCTCATACTGAGAAATAAATCAAATGCAGCATGCTGGCCGGTACATGCCTGTAATCCCAGCACTGTGTGAGGCTGAAGCAGGAGAATCCCAAATTCAAGCCCAGCCTGGGAAATTTAGCAATTTAGACCCTGTCTCAAAATAAAGAATGAAAAAGGGCTGGAGATGCAGCTCACTACAGAGGTACTAGGTTCAATCCCCAGTACCAAATAAAATAAAATAAATAATACTTGTAATAATCCTATTCCCACCTTAACATAAGACCTTTTTTTTTTTTTTTCTGGTACCAGAAATCGAATTTATGACCTTGCGCTTGCCAGGCAGGTGCTGTGCCGCTGAGCTAAATCCCAGCCCCAACATAAGACCTTTAAGCATGATTTTCTCTTCATTCCTCTGGAAAACTTCAAAGGAAATATATGCAGCTTTATGGGTTTTCCCTTTGATCTCTAAGTAAAGCACAGATTAAATGTTTTCTACTTAACAACAGAGCTTATATTACTGCTACCAAAATTATATCTTACCACAAATTTATATTAGTAAATTTTGAAGAGATATTTGCTATTTTAAGAATATACTAAGAACTTGCAGCTACAGAAAATAAAAATTTTATTTTTAGAACCATGAACTTGTTGTTTTTTGGTGTTTTTTTTTTTTGAGACGGGGTCTTGCTATGCAGTTCAGGCTAGGTTTGAACTCACCATGTAGCCCATGCTGGCCTTGAACTTCAGGCAATCTTCAGCCTCAGGCTTCCCAGTGTTGCAATTACAGGCACGCACCACCACACCCCGCAGAACAATGAACTTTAACTTTGAGTTTTAATAGTCTTGTAGAACAATCAACAGAGACCCTTTAGACCTAGACTTGCACTGGGTTTTTTTGGAAACAGTTAAATGATCTATAATGAATTATAAAACCTTTGATAAACTATATTATTGTTTATGAGGCATTTATTTATTATTTTTGTATACCTGAAAGGAACACTGCATACTTGTGTTTTCTGTTCTCCATTTCAGAACAAGATTACCAAAACAGGGCCTCAGATATTTTCGGGACCAAACTGGGTTAGAAATGAAACATAAAGATTTAAATGTATACATAGCTGTGCTCTAAGAGTATAGGTGGTTTTAGCTCATGTTTTGGGTATGAAAGCAATTTAGCTCGTCTCACAGGACAAAAAGCAGATGTTGAACCATGAAAAACCTCCATCAATTATTTTTAGCGTGCCTCTTAACTTTTCTGTCCCCTGGTTTCTTGTCTTCTGTGCCTGATTCTTGAACAGGCAGCCATTTGAGAGGATGTCGGCGATAGATGGGCCATGGAGGAAGGGTCAGCTAGACCAGAAGAGAAAAAAAAAATACACCAGTTAAGCTGTTAGAAGTTTAAAAGACCTTTATGTATAATGCCTAGTCACCAAATGACTCCTATGCTAAAGGTTAATAACACAACATCAACGAAAACTGATATTCTTATGAAAGTTCTGTGTCACTGCCAAAACAAGATACTGTAGGGTGATGGGAACAAGCCCTACTGTTTACACAGTAACCTGAAAGAAAGGTGGAGACAGTGTGAGCACTGTGGTAAATTCTTGCTAGTTTTGACCTTACTGTCTGCAGTAGCTGCCAAGGAAACAAACTAAATTTTCATACAGTTTACACCAACATACACTGTTTGACGTTGTGCTTATCCAAAGTAGTGAGGAGAAACCCTGATGGCAAAGTGGGGGTCGAGGGGACTGGGTCTAACCAAAGTAACCCAACTCAAAAAACCTAGCCTGCCACTAACGCCCCAACACCCACAGATTTCTTACCAAACAGGAAAAAGCAAATCCAGCCATAACTATATAGACAGTCCACCCGAACTGTTCAGCCACGTACCCATAGATAAATCCAACTATCTAGAAACAAACAAAGTATATTAAATAGTCAAAGATGGGCAGCAAAAAGAAAAAAAAAATAAATGTGAAACCATACTTACTGCAGAGAAAAGAATAATTCCCTGAAACATCTGTTCAGCCAGTTTCTGGCCCTTGTAATCCTAGAGGTGAAGAACAAGACAGGTATTGGTCTCGCTACCAAGGGAGTCCAACGCACGGAACGCACAGCCGAGGCACAGGCAACGCTAACACCTAGGCTACCCCCAGGTCCCTAAAAACTCAAATTCCGGGCTTCCTGGTGGGAGCCTGAGACCCTAACGGAGCAGGGGTAAGACGGTCCTATCCGGAAGAGACGAGGCCCCAAGAGGCACAATTCGGGGAAGACACCGGACTGCAATCCTTCGGGTAGGGAAGTGCGCAGCCCCGGATCGGTGCTCCGACGAGGGCTTCGAGGCTGCAGGGATGCCCGGGCCGCACTCTCACCATCTGTGTGGGCAGCGAGCTCAGATGTTCCAGCATGATTAACGGAGGAAACAGACAGCGGAGCAAGAGAGCCCGATACTGAGGTACCTCGGCAGCCGAAGCCTGTAGCGGTACGTTGCCGAGTGGCCGGGTTGAAGCCCTTAGCGCTACGGCCGCGGCCCCGGAACCGGAAGTTTCGGACAGGCAGGGACAACGTATGGCCCCGCCTCGCATCGTCGCTAGGCGACGTGTACTTTCGAAGTTGGCGGTAGCCCGGCGCATCTCCCGCGTGGGCTGAGGCGGTGGCGAGGCATCGCGCGTCGGTGAACGTTTCGCCCTCAGCGCCGCTGGGTTCCGGGAGTCGCGGCCCCGGCCCCGGCCCCGGCCCCGGCCCCGGCCAGACAAATGGCTCATCGCCGCATCTCAGAGGCTTAAGGGTTGCTGGAGCGCGCGGCGTCTCCATGGAGACGGCCTTTTCTCCGCTAGGACCCCAGAGGCAGGGCTGCCCCGCGGCGCCTGCTGGCCGGTGCTCCCAGGCTGCCAGAGCCACGGGCGGGCTGGGGGTTGACACCGTCCTGCCAGGCTGCGGAGAGCCGCGCGCGGGCAGGCGGGCAGGCGGGCTTGGCTCAGAGTGCAGCGGACGCGGGCGGCCCG